CTGTAAGATTTAAACATCAAGTCAAAGCAAACCGATAACAAAACAGGTCAGGCCCAATCACTAGATCATGGAATCACAGAATCATTATGGTTGGAAGAGACCTCAAAGATCACCAAGTCCAACCGTAATAAGATGCGTTATTGTGCTTGCCGTTGACCACCGTTGGGGAACACGTATTGCCAGCACTGCAATTTCGGGGTCTTGCCACTGGCAGATCTGCTTGCTGGAGAGTCCAGCCGTAATTTCTCCTCACGGAGGACAGTCACAACCCCACTTCGGTGGCTGAGACTGGGCCAGCGCCCTGGCTCTCTGCCGGGCACGGCCCCAGCACCCTTACCCCGATCTGGTCTTAATGCGCTGAAGCCACCGAGAAGTCGTTACCGCAGACCTGAGGCCACACAGGGGTACCTGGTTTCTGTCTCTTTTGTACTGTGTGATTTCTACCTTAAATATTTTCCAGGCCTATGTTTGTTCCTTGTGTCCTTTCCTACACTGTTCTGAAGCATTTCTATACTGAGTATGCAACTACCATTTTTCTGGTGCAGAGAAAGCTTTATTTCTATCGAGGAAGCCTCTACTTAAAGAATCATTGTACATGTGAAATTTCTGTTGACTAAAATTTAAATGACTTGTAGACAAGTCTGAGAGGTTTTGAGGGGTCTCTTTTCCAGTATGTTCCAGTATTTACTACCACACTGGGCTGCCAAACCCTGCATAGGGAATCAGATTCCCTACTGAAAAACTTCCTTGTCAACCAAAAGGTCATTTACAAATGAATGGGTTAACACCAGGCTGATGGGGCACCTGCCCTGATAAAATCTTTAAAAAGCTGAGGCACACCAAAACCTAGTAGATGTTGGAAGTGATTTAAATTATCCTTACAAAGCCAATTCTTTGTGATGTTTAATTTTGAGGAAGTGACTTGCAGAGCTGGGGGCAGAAATGTTAATGGGTATGTTCCTTGCTAGAGGAGACCCAGTAAAAGAAAATAGCCACAATTGTAAAGAATAATTGTTGGTAGTTTATTTACAACAAAATGCAAGGAAAAATACAATATTAAAAATAATAAATAACTTGAAAAAATCAGAAACTAAGTGATATGAGTGAGAAATATGACTATCAAATTCTCCTGCTGAGCCTTGCATTATTTAACATGCAGAGCATTTCAAAACTTGGTCCTTCTTTGATGGTAGTGATGTATCACCTAAGGTAGCCATCATTGCTCTAAGTAAAAGAAACGAATTACTGGACATTCAGTCATGTGGAATTACCACAGAAATGAAATAAACCAATGAAGCCTCTTTTAGTGACACCACAGAACTACAGGAGATTGTAATTCAATGACCATGCTGCTCATTTAAAGCAAAACATTGTTAGACTTATTTAGCAGTTTTAACTTACACATATAAAACCAAGTCCCAGCAATGGAAACAGAAAAGCTCCTATTGATGAGATCATGAATTCTCTCTTACTGCACTCACTAATTCATAAAAAGCATATACATTTGGCTTGTTTCAAATGATAGCACATTGTTTTGAAGTTATAGTGCAGCAAGCTTCAAAGCAGTTTTAACAAAATATAGCGGTCTTGTTACAAACTAAAATTCAAGGAACAAATATTTCCATTTCAAAATCTCTACAGCAGCAATTAATGCAAATTGGCTACTAGATGTCACAAAGTCACCTTCCAGAATAATCAAAAAAGCCAAAGAACAAGGTCAAATAGTTTCTTTCCATAGGATTTATCCAGTCATTTACAAAATTAACCATTACATTCATAAGAAATCCTATTAAGTATGTGTTTCAGGAATGTGCTGCTCCTCATAGTCTTTATGGATACCTCCCTTTTTTAATTTATTAGGAGATCTGCCCTTCTAAAGACTGCAACGAATTGCCAGTTATTTTGTAATGATAGTTTTATATGAAATACATAAAAGTATGAGCAAAGCTGGGAAGTTTTCGTAGAAACCCAAACAAACCAATCACATTATTTGCTCTGAACTGTATTCTCCTTGATGAAAAATTCCTTGTCAAGTCCTAGCAGAGCTGCATCATGTAATTCTGCAGTCATTGTGGCAGAGAATAGGAACACGGCTATTGTGTCTATTCAGCTTTGCTGTGTGGCACCGTACTCTAAAGGTGTACTCACCAAATAATCAAATAATTTATTTTTGCAAAGAAAGTGATGAACACCTGCAAAATACTCTCTATTTTTCTCCTAATAAACGTGTTTGAAAATACCACAGAACGCACTGTGAAAAAATCAGTAATGAAAACGACCCCTTTGCCTCAAGATGTTACACTGAAGTATTCAGACCTTCATTTTCATTTAATTTTGTGTCGTTTTGAGTGTTTGCTGGGAACATTATAGAAAAAGTTATCCTACCTTAAAAAGCAAGCAAACAAACAAAACCCAACCAAACAGAAAAAGCTATTTTAAGATTTCTATTTAAAGATCATATTGACCAAATGGGTAATGACTGGTGGGGAAAGCAAAGCAGAACACAGCAGAGGGTACTTACATAGGCAATGAAAAGCCTGGGGTATTTCTTATCCAAAGCAATGAAACATTACAGATCTTTTTATTTGCCTTCATTAGGAAGCAACACGGAGGCAACGTGACCCTTGTTGTGATCAACGGTGAATTCAAGCTGTTCGGTCAGTAAATCTGGTACTCTGGAGAACAGCACTGCTCGGTGGAAGGAGGCAGCAGCACATGCAGATGGAGACAGCGTTACGCAGTCTGTCATTTTTTCCATGAGATGATCAGTGTCTTTCTCCTACACCTCTGTCACGCAGCTAATAAGATTTGTCCTATCCAGGTATGTTAATAATTTTCATACATGCCTTACCCCCAAACCTACTTAATATGATAATCAATGTATCCACATGGGATTGGAAATCAATCAGTTAAATACGAGTAAAGCTATACGACTGCTTTGGTCTAATGATCTGTGTCAAACCCAGATGCCAAAACGTATACAGAAACAGTAATAGGTAAGCACAAGGACATTACGACTAGAGCTGAGCAAATTTTTCTTTGACAAAGAAAAAATTCATTGAGAAATAGATTTTCAGGTGGAACAGACCTGAACTATTTCTATATAGGTCAAACTCAGGAAATGAAAAAACAACCAAACAATGCTTTGTGTTTTCAAAGGTTTCCCTTCTCTGCCAGTGTTCCAATCTTGCTACTAAATAAATAATAATCATAAAAAGATTAGACCAGTTATAATCATGAATATATAATCTGCACAGTTTTTAAGCTGAAATCATCAACTAATGTAGGAAAGTTTTGTTTGCATCTTTACAGCGGCTTCTTTTTAAACAAAAAAATCATCACCCATTAGTTTACTAATCACACAGAATTGCTAGCTCTGAGAAGAAAAGTAAAGCAAAATATGGATTGTACGAGGGAGAATGCATGAAGTCAGACCACGGCTAACCTACAAAGAGCTCCTGGATTTTGTTAGTTACAGGATTTTAACTATCAAACAAATATACACTTGCTTTCAGTGCAGGTTGGCTGTGGAATTACTTCTCCTGCTACTAAAACTACCCTACAAATATCACACATTCAACATAACTTCTACTGCATCTACAGCCATTGAGAAGTTCAGTGCATTTAAGCCAGTCAAATCACAGCATTGTGCTGAGAAGATGGCACAAACGTCCCGTCCAGGTAAAAGGCCATCCCCAAACTGATTGTTCAATATTCAATGATAGTTCAGCTCTGGAGGACTCTTTTTTTTTAATCCATGTACCTTGTCACTGGTGGTACGAAATATCACCTGCTTTGATCGTATGATTCAGGCAACAGCTGTCATTCACTGGGAATTGAACAGCAGCTTATTTAACGTCTACTACAGCAGCGGGGAAAGTTTAGTTTCTCTCTGAGCTTACATTTTGAAAAGGAAGGAAGAGACCACTTCCGCCATTTATTTTTCTCCTCCTTCCATAATCTACACTTCCCTACTGGGAAACATCCTTTTCTACATTTTATTTCCTGAGATGGAAGAGTGATTTCACAGGCAGACCAGGAAGAGCACTTCTTTTTCCTTAACGTCACCCTACATGGGACCAAGCAGCCCCACGATTCATTTGCTTTTTAAAGTGACCGAGCTTGTTCTTCCCTTGCCTAGACAACAGTAAAGGCTGGAACCAGCTTTCTGTTAGCAGAGATTGTGCTGTTTAAGAAAGATGTGAGGCAGGAAAGAAAAAGGAGTCTCATATTTTCTTTCCTTTACATTCAAGGTCTTACTGTGTAGCTACCACTCTTCTTCCAGTGAGGAGAACACAGAATTCATTGGTTTTGCTTCTCAACTGGCTCGATTTAGCTGCTTTTTTTAATCTTACACATGGAACACCATTGATGAACACCAAAATGGACTTAAGAGACCACAAAAGGATGGGGGAGAGCTATTAAAATACATTATCTACAAGAAATAGGTGGTTTCTTTTACAAATTATGTGCAAGATAGAAATAGTTCAATGGCCTCAAAGTCAGTATAATTAATTACAATTGGGGCTTCAATACAGTGATAGTTTAGGTTTGAAAAGTTTTGTCTTTGTTAGCTAGGCCCCAAATCCTGAGTCATATTAAGCAAAATGTGAATCTGAGCAGTTGCTGTTGGTGTTCAAGTACAATGAGTTACAGGTCAAAGGTTTATGAATACACAGGAGAAGGCTGAGAGTAGGAAGGATTTTAAAATCAGCTAGAAAAGAAGAAAATGGGAGGGTTTTTTTCCTGTTAACCCTGCATTCTAATTGGCACTAATTTGCCTCAGAAGTCCTTGGCAGCTTTACTAAATAACCTACTCCTAATTATAAATGCTATGACCTAGATGAGGATTTGTAGGTAGAATACTGCTACAGAAAGATTTGTTTTCTTTTATAGGGTTCCCCTCAGACTATTTCATCGTATGTCAGTAAGATGCACCATATGGCTTGAAACACTACTTTAGGAATATACAAACTATGTTCTCTTGCATGCACATCTCTGAAGGTTTTAAGGATCAAGTCTGAGGAAAGAAGTAATCTTTCCACACCAGTAACATTATTTTAAGCAAAAAACAAACCAACAAACCACCATGACCTTTGTAGAAATTGAGTTGTGTCACTCTTGCTGTGGTAGACATGGCTTATCAGGAGGAAACATGCTGGGTTAATTTAAAGGTTTTTTTTCACTGGATCTGGAAGAGTGAGAGTTTCTGGAGCAGACTTTTTCCGAGGCCGATCTTTGGGAACTGTTAGGAATTCAGGAGCATCTGTGGAGAGAGGAGTTGATGGAGCACTAGATGGAGCACTGCGGGTTGAAGAAGGCATGGAAATGTTAGAGATAGATATTGCAGGTGGGAAAATCCCAATCTTCTTGTTGGTAGCTTCCTGAGTTGCTCGTTCAAACTCTCGGACTTCATCCATTGTCATGTCTTCAACAAGAAGGAAAGAAAGATAAAGGCACTTTAGAATAATTTCAAATGATCCTTTCATTAACTCAGTTAAACTACTTCCATCCAAATTCTAAATCAGGGAATGATTGCTTATGTGCCTAACATTAAGTGATTCTCCACACGAATGCCTCCCTATTGTAATGCATTGATTGGAGTACAATAAGTGGCCAATGTAAAGGAAACGAAGTTAAGTACATTCATCACATACTAAAAGCTCTTCTTCTCCCTGGGTCGGAACTGAATAAAGATTGCTACCTCTGTAATTGCTGGAAAAATCAAGATATTTCACAGGCAATTAAAGAATACCTTTAGATACACAGTCAGCGAGTAGATTTTTTCAGAACTTCAACCAAAATAGAACTAATAGGGCTTTATTTTTTTTCATTTAGATTATATGCATGCACAGGTAAAGGGTTGTCATCGGTTTGTTCATCTACTGTAATTACTAAGGGATGAAAAAATCTCTCCCCCCATGCACATCTTCCACTGACTTCTAGTTGCAGCTGCATGCACATCACTGAGGCCGTTTTGCTTTTCAACTAATAAAGCCTGAAGAATTCCCTCTCACTTGATAAAGCCACAACATACTTTCCAACTTTTCCATCCAGAATCTGTATTTAAACATTTAGAGCCAACTGACAAATCCACTGCTTAATTCCCTGCAAAACGAGATGAGAGGCTAAAGCCACTTTGCAATGGAAAATAGGGTCCACGGAAAGCAGTGAAAGTCTTCTCATGCAGGTGACAACTGTGTCACCGTGCTGTAGAGACCCACAAGAGGGCAGAGCGATCCCAGCATAGATGTGCTCTGAGCTGAGCCGTCCAAAACTGTCGATAAAATCCCAAACAAATGACATCTGCTACAAACTGGTAAATTGAGCAAAAAGTCAGCAAGACTCTTCTGAAACCTGCTGCTCCATGTCTACATTGCCTGCAAGATGTCCACTGAGCCAACTGAAATAAATTTTATGGGTTTCACTGAATGTCATGTTAAATTTGTACATTTGAAGTATTTCATTAAACCATTTTATAGATCCTTTTAGCTCCGAAAGCTCAAAAACCCACAAATAAAACCACTAGCATTTTAATCAATTTAGAATTCTCGCCCATTTGAGTGTCTGAGACACGGGACTGGCAACGGTGCTTACCATATGTGTGACAAAATCCTATACTTCCAGTACCTCGATACTTTTTAATATTACCCAGCTGCATGCATCTGTACGCTTGGCTGCAAATGTTATGTAGAACAAGCTTTATGTTGTATTACATCATGTTAAATAAACAAAAGCATGCATGTTGCCAGCTGCCTCCTCTCCTCCCTGCAGATGACATTCCAGGGACCTTTTCAGCCTACAATGCCAATTAAGAGTGAGGACTAAGCTATTTTCAAATCTGAGCTAAGTGGTGGAAATAAACAGATGAGTCTCAGAGGAACTGTACCTACTTGTGCTGGAGATAGATTTGAACCTGTTTTGCTGATTTGCATTTTGTTTCACACCCCATAACAGTGTGTGTAGTGTTTCTGAGCTCAATGGCTTTAAAAGCACCCTGACATCAAAGGGAGCCCATGCATTCATTTCAGCTATTTTCGGTTGAGGACTTCTGTACAATGTGAAACAAAACCTGTCTTGAATAAATAAAAGTGAAAGAGGACAGGAAGATTTCTGTTTACTGGCCATTTAAGCGAAGACTGACTAAAGTCTTGCTAACGGGGTAGCCTCCAAGACTGTTCATTTTAAATTCAGACTTGAAATACTCATTGTCCCTTCAGTTGACTTTTGCTTTTTAGCTTACACTTGCTTTAAATTCCCTTCTGTTCTGATATACAATCAAATAAAACAAGTCCCAGAGCTAGACTTTTTTTCCCCTTAATGACAAAGTCTGTTCTGACCTCAATGGCAATTTTTCCACATGGGAACTAAGGATGGTAGACTTCATTCAAAGCCAAATCCTGAAGTGTAGAGCCAAAGTCAGAACTGATTCTCAATTTACTGCTCTGCTAAGGAATAACATTGATGCCAGTGGAGCTGCAGCATTTCAAACACAAGAATTAACTTCCTGGTTATTACTTAGACAACATCTTCTCAGGCTGGTGACAATTTTTACTGAGTAAGAGCAAAGGAAAGACTTCAAGCCCTTTAGGCCTTGCCATCACTGAGTTCTACAGTGCAGTTACTAGAACTAAAGGAATAATAACATTTCAAAAGCAAATATCACTGCATCTTTTCTATTTGCACATAGTAATAATTTCTAATTTTAGGCCTCTACTTGAGGTGCTCAAATGACAAACTTAAACACTTTATGAGATTTCCAGAATCTGAATCAAAGAACCTACACAGAAACCTGCCCTTCTCCACAAACTTCTGTTATATACTTCCAAAAATACTTCTCACCTTGTTGGTAGCTAATCAATGACAACATTAAAATTAGTTTGAAAAGAGTGAATAATTCGTTAGCTTTTTTTTTTTTCCTGGTGAAGCAAACAATTTTATCAGTCCCATAGAAATTTTCCACTCCCCATGTTCCTGGCTTTTTGACTGAAGCACTCTGAACTCCTGCATTTTTTAACTATTCAAATAACAGAAAGAAAAACTCCTATTTAACTTCCTCTTTATGCATCCAACTGAAATTTGAGAATTGTGTTTTCCTGGAAGACAAGGAGCTGTCTATGAGCCTAACCCCACCCTTTCTTACATCAATGGCAGTTTACAGTGCAAACAAAAGGCAGGATTGCACTTCATAGAGAACGATTCTGTTCCTACTGAAGCAAAACCTCCCCAAAATTCCACTGACTGGTCAGCAAGATCAGCTGGTTGCTCTTCGCTGATTTGTGCAGGTGTATTAGCTGAGGATGGGCAATATGTTTTAAAAATTGACATACTCTTGCTTTGGCATGGCTCTCTATTTCATCCACAGTAGATGAATGTTGATTGCAAACTTTAATGTTGGTTTTTTCATGCATATTTTTCTCGTATTCTCGAACATCATCCATAGTCATATCTGTAAAAAGTTCAAAATTGTTGGCATTTTCCATTGATTCACTGTAAACTTGATTTCTTTTTTAAGGAGAAGTTTCTAGGAACACATAGTCTTTCAGCAGAAGCCAAAAAAGGACTTAAAAAGAAGCATGGAGCAACTAGCTTTATGAAAATTGAGTCATAAAGGTAGTTATATCAGCCAAGGAAGATGTAAGAAGGTTAAGTCAAAGGGAGTCAGAGAACAGGAAGGAGTGGAAATTGTTTAGGAGTATCTGTGTAACATAAGTAGGCAAAAAGTATTGAAGTGCAGGCCTTGGCAAAGGCCAAGATCTTCTAAAAAGATTTTAGAAGATCCCTTGAAATAAAGGATAGATACAGAAACATCGTAAATATTTACTTACCTTTCCAGGCACTTTCAAAAAGATTTTATGTTATCTTTGCATAGTACATCTCATAACCAGCAAACATTCTTACTGTTAGAGCAGACATCAGCTTAGATTCCAGAAACTAACACTTGATTATACTGGTAAGTGAATTAATAGTGAATACATTAACAGTTTTGTAGCCTCAAGCAATTTAATGAATTATAAGAATTAGAAATATTCTACAAATCAGGCTGATTCTACCGGTAGGACCCATTTATCATTGTCTTGGCATAGTTGTCAAACTCGTGCATAATCTGTTAGGTGCTTGTTATGTAACTCCAAGCAATTATTACAGATTTTAAAAAGATTTGTCATAAACCACACTTCCAGTAAAAACATAAAGAATCCAATTAGTTGACTTGTGACCTTACTCTTCTGAGTATTCCCATGCTTTCAATATGTCTACTTGAAAGTAAGGTGTAAGTGAACATGAAGGCTGACAGAATTTTGGTCTGTTCTTTACAATGGTGTGATAACTTCAGAGGTTCATGAAAATAGCCATCAACTTCTACATAGAAAACTTAAATAGCATTTTATTAGCACAGTATACTTGCAAATGTGTTCCCCCTTTTGGTAATGTACACTGTGTTTTTGTTCTTGAGGCTATAATTTTTCTCAAGTTTATTATGTGCCACTTGGATTTGCGAATTCTTGTATCACACCACTCCTTATTATGTGATATGAGGCTCTTGCTACATTTTATGAGACAGCTTTTAAGGAAAGATATAACTTTAGCTGTTACATTAGTAGCACAATGTAATACTTCAGTGAAAATGAGATGCAGTCTAAAATGTTGATCAAAAGGAAACATGGAATACCACTAACTCATACTCTTTTAGTCTTTTACTGTTATCTGGAATGAAAAACAAGCTCATAAGCCATGTCAGTAACATGCTAAGGATGCACTTTGCCAAGCAGAGGACATGCTCTTTATTAGTAAGCAACACTGTAAAAACAGATTTTCTTAATAATAAAGCTAAATACGGTTTAGTAAATTTAATGACAAGACACATTCATACTTACAGTATCAGTAACAGTAATCAGTCAGTAATATCCATAACATAACATGTTGTTTAATAACTGATTTTATTACACTGATTATTTGATTCAGTTTAGCTGACTAACATCATCTCCAGGTCTTTCTCCAACTTTTATTTTAAAAGATGATAATAGACACATTGAAGGCACACAGACGCTTTAAACATTGTATTTTGAAAACCTGTCCCTACACACATAAACATGTCAAGAGCAGTACCACAAAAGTTTTACAGATCTTATGTATTAAATTGAACTGGATGGATACAAATTGGGTCTCACTCATTTTGGATAATGAAATACTCAACTTTCTAGTCAGCAAGTCTTACCAACTGTTATACTTCAGAACAATGCAGTGGTATAAGGGCTGCAGACACCACACAGAGTCACCTAAACTAACTTTCTGCACTTTGTTTTTTATAAATTTTGGTATATACTTAGCCTTTATTAATATCTATTTTAGTAAGCCCAGATTTTTTAGGTTTTGTACTCAGCCTGACAATTAAGTTCTAAAAGTACACTACATTATTTAGTAAAAAGAGTCACCATGACAGTAAAAATCCACAAGTTAATTGTGTATCACAGTATTTCATTTGTGGAAAGAGGATTTTTGATAGGATGCATTCAGAGTCAAGATGGGAAAACCTGTAGTTAAATGTTTTTGTCCAGACCTATTCCATATGTTTAACTTCATGACTATTCATTTGTTATCATTATCAACAACTCTGCTGAAGTGCAGATGACTCTTTGCTTCCCAGTAATATTTCTTTATGTCTCTAGATATTTTGGTAGATTTGGGGCAAATTTATGGGCTCAATTTTTACATGAAGTCAGGCTTCTTTATTTAAAGTCATCCATTTTCCTGACTTCATACAGAGAAAATAATGGATCGCTATATTTCAGGTAAGATAAAAAACCGAAACCAAACGAACTTAAGAACTCTCTCACTGAATACAAAATTCTCTTACTAGATTATGGCTATCCCAAAATAGAAGATATTTTTAGTAGATTTCAGTACTTTTATGATCATTACAGCACTAGATTTTCATGCAGTATTAAATTTATAAGACCACTGTGATTTTAAAAGCAAATTTTTCTATCTTTTCAAAAAAACAGCACAATGAGTTTACTGTTAGATTCTAGTATAAAATTATGCAGGCTTATGAAGTCACTAGAGATGTGTGTGTTTGCACCAGCTGGGCTAATTGCCTATTTCTAAGCAATGCAGAAAGTTTCTGAGTTTTGATGAAAGACAGGTGTCATTCTTATCCAAGAAATGCCCAAAACAGTGTTTCCTGAAGCTTAAGGAGGGTCTAAATAAACATATTAAATATATTGCCAAATTCCTATTATATGTTACTTGTAGAACAGTTTCTAAGACATTCATGTATCTCATGATTATGGATACATCTTACTGAAAATATATGTAAAAAGCACAAACCCTGTGAGCTTATTTTATAAAATGCAATTGGCTGTTTTGATATTCAGATTACTCTGTACTATTGAAAGTGCCCATTCCTACAGCTGGTTCATGGATTCAGAACAGTTTTTGCATGCAGCTGCTGCTGAATCAGACCCAGGAGGCTTTACATTTATATCCGTTTTTCAGAAAGGACGCTAGAGCTCCATTTTTTCTTTATTGCAATCCATATTAACAATTTAAAACTTTCCTAAAAAGCTGAAATTATGTTGGATCAGAGGCCTTAGGAGTTTGCAGTATGGAAATAACTGCATGTTAATGCAGTCTTAATAAGAAGCTGTATTCAAACCTGCATGCAGTTCTCCATATAGATGACTCTTGGCAGGGGCAGCTTCTATCGGCCTACAATGCAGGGTGACAAGACTGATGCCTATATGCTGAGATGCATGGGATGTAAAGGTGTCCCTGTATGCTGCCTACTGGCTGCCTAAAATACAGCCTACCCTTGTTACAAATAACTTGCTGTAAATGAGCTCCGTATGTTCCAGAGAAACCGAACATAGTTCCATCTCTTTCATGAACAACTTACACTAGGACCTGATGATCCATGAAAGCAAATGGAAATCTGTTGTTTATTGTCATAAGCTTCGCATCAGGCCTTTTAAATGGGCTAAATTTGGAGAATACTTACCATACCACTCATCAACCCAGGCAAAAGCCTGCCGGTGACCGATCAATAGTATATCTCTGACCACCTGTGAAACACAGAAAAGGTTAAATACCTCTGCAGCTACAAAACATTTTAGAAAAGTAACACTGCTGTCTTTCAACATGATTTAAAGTGAAAAACATTCTGACAGTTTTGTGTCTAAAAAGACATTCCCTAGAGAGTCAGACATACTGGCTCTGAAGGACTTGTAATCCAACCTCCCACTTGAAGTGGATCTATTGTCAAGACTGGATCACATTAGCATGGCTTCGACTAGCATGGGATGCCATCTGGGAACGTGTACAGAATCCATTAATCTTTGGGCAATTAGACGTTCTGGAACTCTTCTTTTTTCATGTTAGTTTTTTAAAAATGTGGAAGGTCAATACTCTAAAAAATATTATCATTTGGCTGTTACGCCATTCATTAATGAATTTTTTAGTAGACTGATTGGAAAACTTTCCCACTAGCTGTTTGTAAGAAATTCATCACATCATTGCTGCATGCACGGTACTCATGTATACTCATAAATACTTTAGCTCATGTATTTATCACACTATTGAAAAAACTTATTTATAGTTTTTGTCAAGCTTAGACCTGAGTAGCTCCAGGCTTTGTCAAGTTTATACCTACAGATGAACTCTTCAGCTCTGCTCCAGATCTTTCAGACCCTGACAGAGGTCTGAAAGCAGATTCGGCTGAGCTCCCTAGCTTCTACGCAGCCATAGTTAGATTCCTGTGCAGGGCAGTACTCAAGTTCTGCTTATGTGAAGGATAAGAAACAGCTCCTGCTTCACTGACCTTGTGTACAAATTGCTCTACTCTGGTTTGAAGTCCCCAGACTTCAAATTTCACAGTCACAAGTTTGTAGGAACACATAATTGGCTGATGGGTCTCTCTCCAGCCTTCTTTTAATTGGCCTCTCCCAGTCTTCTGTGACTTGAAATATTTAGGATCCTGCAAAACAAAGAAAATATACTGGGAAATGCAGGAGAGGAAGTCCTGTTTGTCAGTTTGCTAAAGTAAATGTTTTGCTAAGACATAAAATATGAAAACATGCTAATAAACAATATGAAAAAGTAATAGGAAATTGACCTAAATAAGCACTAGGATATACTAAAATCCAATCCAGTCTTTTATCCAACAGCCAGTGAATCAATGGCAGCATATTCTTGGAGATGCTTTGACAATCATATCATTTAGGACATCTTCTGCTATAGGAAAATATGTTATTGCAAGTCATCACAGTACAATGCACTCCAAGTGTTATTTATAGCCTTTGGAAACAAAAAAATGTTGCTTCTTCAGAGCTTGCTTTCCCACTGCTCCTTCAGTGTGACTTACTAGTACTTTCTACCCGTGTCTGCTTCCTGAAATCATGTCCAATTTGAGCTTTGACACGTCAACACTAATGTGACCCTGACAGCGCCATTTTCAGTTTCAAGTGACCTTGTATATTCAGGTGGCCAGCTAAGTATGAAACTTCTCCAGTTTAGCTGTCTCTGGTTACAACTGAGTTATGGGCAAAACACTGACTAATTACAACTTTGTCTCTCTTTTACGAATGGGAAAAGCAAATAAATTGGTGTTGAAATTACAATAGCAAGACCAAAAAGCCAATAAGGACATTAGTTCATCTTTAAAGTTTACTTTTATCTGTACAAGATACAGTTTTATCTATCAAAGTGCTATTTTCCTTATTGGTATAATTCCATTTCACTTTATATCCAAGCCTGCTAATTACATCTTGTAAACAGAAATAATTTACAGTTAAGCATTCATTTTCAAAACTTGAAAATAATGTAGTTTCAGTAAATTCATAGTGGAGCTTCTAAAATCTGTCTTCAAAAATAACCACCAGTGCTCATTCATGTTGCCTTCCCCAAAGCTGAGACCTGGGAAGATCTTTTAGACCAATCCTTTGTTATAAAAGCAGTTAAACACGTATTTAAGTATGTATTTAAATTATGCGCTAAATGGAAGACAATCAGGAGAAAAACTAACAAAAAATTTACAAAACTACTCTGATTTTGATTTTCTTTCATTCACTGGGTGCTTATATATCATTCAGTGTTCCTTTTTTCTAATGTTTAGTTATCTCCTGGCTTGACTTCTGATTTTAGCCATAAACTGAAGCTCTGTCATTAAAGCTTCTTTAAAAGGTCTAATGACGGGGTAGTCTTCCTTCTCTGTGAAAGTCATTGCCTTTATTGCTGACATATTCTTTTCTAAATAGAAACTTTAAGCTCACAGTATAATAAGGTTTCAATGTTAAATCACCATAAAAACCAATTCAGTGACATTGTATATCACAGCAACATATATCAGAGCAACAACTGTACATCACAACTCATAGTCACATGCTGTTGCCAATCTTCTCACCCAATAAAGCTTGACCTCAGATTGATCTACATATTTTCTGGTTGAAAGAGTTGTTTTATAACTGATCATTGCCTGAAGCAATCAATATAATAATAATAAAAAGTAAAAAGGGAAGAATTAAGACATAATATCCAGAAAGATGTAAAATTCTAGTTGATAGTTCCATGAATAAAGAAATGGTTACAGAAAATATGATTTCAAATATTCCTGCAAAATATTCCAGTGTAAAAGAAGTATTTCTAAAAAAGGAAAATCAAAGGAAAATAGTTTCCTGTAAGGAAAGGTCTGCTGTTTCTTACATACACATATGGTGCTAGTGTGATGGAGCCGTTGTCTTGATTAAGCATTTCAGATATGCATTTTAATAATACTGAGTGTTATACTTTATATGCCTTCAGCAATAACCAGATTTATAATGGAATAACTTCAATGCAGTCCAAAGGGATTTAATGTAATGAGTTTGAGTCAGTATCAAGTATTCAGAATTTATAAATAAAAATTAAATAATGAACACCTACCCTGCATGACTGCTAAGTCATGCGTAAAACTTGTGTCTTGCTCAAAATGCAAGAACCCTCTGGATGCTGTGAAAGCCCTGTTTTGTTTTGGTTTGGTTTTGTGAAGTTATCCCAGCAGACAAGGGCATTCATAGTGGAAATTGTTCTTAAATTAGTGGCCTGCAAATAATCCACCTACTGCAATGCAATTCATCCATGACATCACTCTTAGTTGCAAATTCTTTTAACAGCACCCAGAGATGGCACCTTTGCTTCCCTTAATCATGTCCATTTTTCTTTAGGTCATGATGTTTAGTCACAAATTGGCTGGACAGTCTCAAGCAAAGAGCCAGGCAATGATGGACAGTATGGGCACCTTACAGCTTTTATGGAAATTCCTGCCTTTCTGAAAACATTAACATATTGATACTATAAAACTGGAGACTGATGAATGGAAGCCAGGAAACAGAAAGAATTCAGAGGAATAGATTTCCAGACTGCTGTATGAAAGATCAAGATGTTAAAGATTTTACTGAGTGCTTGCTCAGGTGAGCTAAAACTCAAAGATTGTGTATAAGCTGAGTAGTGGGATGTAAGATACACAGGAACATTAAGCAAAGTGAACTTGAGAGTTTAATCTCTGGGCCATCAATTCAAGAGTGTGAGTGTTTTACAGAGGTGAGTCGTTATCATAAGCAAAACTAACACCACTGGGCTTTTTACCTGGATGCTAAAAAATTAGATGTTTAAAAACGTCTTGGACTATTTTAGACAGACACAAATTCTGGCTCAGCAATTGCTTGTGCTATGGTTCATATGAGGAAGTATGTAGGGGAAGAATGTCTATATTTATCTCTATATTTTGCATGTATTTACACCTTTCCTAGGCCTCTGCTCTTGGCCACAGCCACAGGGAGCATACCATGCCAGAAGAACCTTTGGTGTCACCAGAACTGCTAATCTTCTGCTCTTCAATGTCTGATCCAAAGCCCACGGAAATCAATGAGAACTCTGACGTGACAGCCACAACCCAGCATGATTTTATGTGCCTAACTCAAGGCTTCAGATTGCCAGATTAAGATTCACAGCCTGGAATCCTTTCTGCAATTAGGCATGTAAGGTCATTCAAAAAAACCCAAAAAAGAAGCAGGGATGATAATTTTCTGTTGAATGCAAGTAGAAATAATATTGGTACACAGCACTGCTTCTCCTCCTGACTTTCACGCTGTAGCTCACTGATTAGGTTAGTCAGATAGAACAAATTAGACTCATGTGCTGTGCTCACATCTCTCCAGGTCCCAGGAGGAAGCGCTGAGCACCTGCGTGTACCGGATCATGGCTGTTCCTTACTCTTCCCGTGAAAGGTATGGCAATTGCAAAACATGTATCAGAGGCACCAGCCTAGAGTGAAGAAGCATGCTCTCGAGGCAGGAATTGTGGCACATGTGTTCAAAACACTTCTGTCCGTGACTAGAAACTGGGCAAGCTGATCTTTGGTCTGACCCCATTTTTATGTTATTATTTAGATAACTGATTTTGTGCGTGCCTTATTTTTGCTTTTAGCCACCCATGCCTTCCTTTCTAGAGAAGCCATCATCCAAAGAATACTGTGTCTATTCACTATTTTCCCCTTAATTTATCTACTGGCAAAATCCTCAATCTGTTTTAAATGTAATGGCATAGCTAAAATCTTTTTGTTTAAATAACCTTCTCGTCCTTTTATCAGACACAATTTATTACAAAAGCCCATCTGGCAAATCTTTTTGCTACAGAGGAGCAAAACCTACTCTGTATTAGCATTGCCAGGTGCAGAGTGATTTAAAAATAGCACTTCTGCTAACATAGCAGAAACATCATTACCCAGGAGCTGGGCTTATTTGAGAATAAAATGTAAAACTACAATTAAATAAAATAAAAGCCACAGTGTGATGGACATGGTTTCAAACATAGCACCTCCCCAGTGTTTCTTACTTAGGGCACGTCTGGCGGCTCCTGGCTCAGCATGCTTATTGTTGGAGATTCCATTATTTAGCATTTATTTACTTAACCTTCCTCGTGGACTGCCGATGTCATGGGCATCAGATGTGGAATCGTAACTTCCTTTCCAGGAGGCAAATACCAACATGTTGACAAGACAGCACGGGGTTGTTGCAATGCCTTTTCAGATTTAATTCTGAATTGTTATTTTTTACTTAAATAATGGAATACATTCGTTGTTTACAGAAAACTTCCAAATCTGAGTCGGCCTGCTTTCCCTTTAGCTTTGCCATGGTATCAGGCATGATTTGAAGATGCCATACTCTTCTGCAGTTGGCAACACCTCCTTTGTCTGTATGCTGGAAGCCTGCATGGAACATCCTGTTAGCCTTGTCACTGATCTGTCGCAAAAATTCCTTGCTGCTTGTATGGCCATTTTAGCACGGAACAAGATCCCCAAGCTGAGTATGCTCTCCAGAGGTGAAAGTGCACTATGCTTACGCCATGCGTCCTATTCTCTTACTAGAAGGTACTCAGATGTCCCAGAAACAGATTCTTTCCTTTTAATGCATGGATTCGCTTTTTCAGACTCCTATTGCAATATAATCCACCACTGTGCTTTTGAAGTACAGTCAATTTTTTTCCCCTTTAAGCTGAAGACCATTTTGATTAATCTTGAATTTCAGAACCAATCCTTCATGGTTTTAATTAATGTGATCTGGCATTTCACCATCAGCTGTTCTTAGGTTTTATATTTTCATCTGTTTTTGCTATGCCCTGTACTGAACTACGGTACTGACATGCTGCACACACTCACCATTGGGGCTGAGGCAGCTGTATTATTTCAACTACCATAATCTTCTGGCTCTGTAATGTGACAGAGGTTTTGTTATTCTGAAAGCACCTGGACAGTAGTAAGCTGGACCTATTACAGTGCAGCTGTGTTAAAAGTAAAAAAAGCCAGCAATTGAAGAAGAAAACTGCAGCAGCTGCATGAAATCTTTCTGTTTGGAGGTGACTTAAAAAGTTTATTCCATTTGTCCAACTCTCAACTGCTTTGTTATAAACAGGAAATGAAACACTGTTAATTTTGAGAACTTGAATATGTTCGCATAGAACATTTTGCTCAGTAGCTCACATCTACAGTAAATGTTTCATTTCAGTGAATGATTCACTTGAGGCCCTCGCTTTTCAGCATAGCTCAGTTTGATTCCTTTCTATAATTCAGATGAATATATATGTCTATATGGGGAATACATGGTGGCTGGTGATACATATTCATTGACGGTAAAGTCACAAGGAAACAACTTTACAAAATGTACAACTACTCTTACCTGTAGGCTTGTACATTGTTTCTACAGAAATATAAAATTCTGTATTCAATGTAATACGTACATTCAGATTTGGAAACATATGTGACTCCTTACAGAAAAACAGGCAAACCTGTTAGCTTGGATCTAGATTCAGGCTTTCTCAATTTGGAACCTCACATTTAAACTTCTTAAAAGTTTAAGGATTTTTAGGTCTATGCTTGTAAAAAAAAAAAAAGTTTTACTTAAGATGTGGCAGCACTGCTAAGTGTTCTGGTGGCTGCTTCACAACGAAGTTTGTAGATGGTCATTAAGTTAAAATTAAGTCATCTGCTTTGGGATACCCGGAATTGCTGCAGTTATACCTCCTCCAGTCTTCTACAAGGGCAACTCTTTTGAAAGCAGAAATCAGTATACCTCCATTGCAGACAGAACTGGGCTCTGTATGTGTTCGTAATAGCTAACAAAACTGTCTTCTGATTCAGTATTTATTTGGTGGTTTAAGTCCTTTTGTGCATACACTGACAGATAAGCCCTCCATTCTTAAGGGAATTAAAATCACTTAGATGATTCTGGTCAAGAGATCACTCGGTATTATTGGCAGAGGTTCCTTTAAAGTGTTCTTCAATGAAACAACAGCTCTCCTTAAGCCTCCAGCTAACCATATTTTTTACTTTTCAATTTTAGTTAATCTTTAGAAGGAGAGAAAAAGAAGATATGCACAAAGTCGAATTCAATCATTTTCTCTTCAACTGTCATGCCATTTTGATGGAACACTTTTCCTCTCTCATCAGTACCAGTGCAAATCAAAATGAGCTATGCAATTCAAATGGAATAGTATACACATGAAGATGTTTTATACATTTTTGTCTTTTTATGTGTGAATCATTATTATGTAAGTTACAATGGAAGGAGGAATATAGATATGTTTACAAGATTCATGTCAGGGCAACTGAAAAATAATTTTTTAGATCATAGATGCTAGGAAGCAGAGAACGGTTGCTTCACTTGTTTGTACTGAGCCTGATGCTGTGGGTGCCTTGGATATCTCCTGAACCCTCCCGTGGTAACTGCAATGTTATTACCCCTGTGGATGATATCGGTGTAATACATACACAACCATATCTTCTGTTTATATAAATGAGAAAAACAATGCTAAAGCTGCTGGGGTTCATTCTGCTATAATCAATATGTTATTTGATGCACTCAAATAACTCAAAGAAAGGTCACAGTCAAATTGTAGAAAGGAGTTTTTCATACAGAGGGCTCTGAAAAACTTATGATATTGACCCAAACAGCTTATGAAGGATAACTGAACACTTTAAAGCTAGAAATAATGGAAATCACAAATACTAGCTTAATAGCAACTATGTAATTAGTGCTGCCTGATCATATCAGAGATCACCCGTCTACAAGCAGGCTCATAAGCACTGACAAAGAGCAAGCAGTTGAAGTAGTTTGTGAAAGGTTTAAATTATTTAAGCTACCTCAATAATATACAGTAATACAACTAAATAATGAAATTTGCTGTTAGAAATTGAAGAGGGAAGCACTTTTGTCAGGATATAAAATAACTTTAAAGGTCGTTTCTAGAAGGTGCTAAGTATGCTGACTCTGATACAGAACTTGCTTAATTTTAAACATGTGAAAGATCCATTGAAATGAAGAGATTACTAACATGCCTGAAGTTAAAATCATTCTCCTTGGTCTTCCTGGATGGGAGTCAGAACACTTATCCCGTGGGATCTAATTCCTAAATCCTGAGGATTTTACTTCACTTTTAATCTTTAAACTTAGTATCAGTTCAGATTAAATGATCTAAAAGCAGCCAAATTGTTGTTATTAGTGTAACTAAAATACCTTTCAAAAGCTTACAGTAAATGGTTTTTAGTTATCTCTGAAACTGTTATTTGGAAAACACAGACCGTTTCTCATTTACATAGAGTTACTTTTTTATGCTGTTCTGATTGAAAACAGACGGAAATTACATTTACAAACATAAAAATGTTTTTATAGTCCCTAAATTATGTAAGAGGCTTCATCAGAAATGGAAATTTAGCTTCATGTTCATCATATGGTAGCATAAAACCCCCATAGTTTGTAAACTTTGGAAGATAATGAATTCAACTATTATAATTCAATATCAATTACAGTATGTGCACACTTAAAGACTAAGGTGTTCTTACTATTTTATATGAATTCTGAAACAGAATTTGGTAGCCAACGTACAAACCATCCACCAGTACAGAAAAAACAACAGATGCTGGGTTATTTTTGATGTTTAAACCCATATAAAATTCTGTTTTGCTTGGAATCAGGTCTCTAGATTTGTCTTTGAAATAACAACACAAAGACTCTGAAATTCTTTTCTCGCTTAACATCAAGCTGGTTTTCTATATCATAAGATTAATCACGTGGAAATTATACTTAATAGTTGGCTATTAAAAATGGGAAGGAAAGCTGAAAAGCTAGATGTTACCTTCATGTTTACAATTTCTGGAAGTGCACACACTGAGATGAAAAATCTTACATGATTTCTTTAAAACGCAGTCAAATGCTGACCCGTTCAATAGCAGCAGTCATTCCTAAATGGAACCAGAAGACCATGGAGTTCAGATAAGATGATTGGAACAATAAGCTGTTTCATGAGGTGTTATCTAATTTTTGGTACTAAACAGATGGGTTTCATTATCCAAGGAAACTAATAAAATTACTTTTCATTCTACTGTAGACCCAATTTTGTTTTATGATCCGTACATAAAATTTGAAATAGGATCTATAAACGGAAGATAACAAGTACCTGACTTTTTTGGTCTGAAAATCATGTCTCTTATGGTATAGAAATATATTCATTGGCAAGTCTTCATTTTCTATCCTAAAAATGATTATGTAGCCTCATTTTGTATAGCCAAACAGCCACCACACTCATTGCCAGCTATGAATATATACTTGGCTCCAGAGGCAAATCATATCTCCAAAATTAAATGCAAGCATAGATCTGATCATTCCTCTCTAGCTACTTGTTGTGAACCATCATTTTTCAAGTCTGAGGTTAAAATATTGAGACCTCATCTTCATTTGCATGGTGGTTGCTGATCTCAAAACTGTGAATTGCATTGACCTATAAGAAACATGCTCTTCAGACACGTGCACTATCAAATATACATGGGAGCAATTTTCAAGGGAATTTTAAGAGAGTGAATGTGTCTGCTGCCATTGATGCTCTTTGGCAGATTTACTGCAGTATGTAGTACGCTTCAGTCCCTTTTGGTCTTGTGTCATAGTTGCCCTGGAGCAACTGTGCATCAACCCTATTCTTGCTGCTGCATATCTGTCCTTTGCCTGGGTTTAGACACTTCGCGTGACTTATTAGTAACAACTATAAACATCAAGTATTATCAATTCTGAAAGCAGACTGTCTGAAAAACATGTAGTCAACTCTAGAAAGAGCACTTAGAAAAAACTTAACAGAAGGAGAATCTACTGAAAGGAGAAATGGCCCTGTTTTAGCCAAAACCAGGACATTTACTCAGGGCAGGATGTAAATAATGACAACAGTAATGTTTAAACTGCTCAGACCTGCAAACACTTAATTGAGCTTCACGATTCAAAGAAGAGTCTTTTTCAACTTTGAATGAATTCAGCTGAATATCAAAGGTCTGGTACAGGATATGTTCTGATAAGGGTACGAAAGCATTTCAAAAGACTGGAGGAATCATCTGCAAAAGAAAGTGTCAGGCAACCTAGATAGAGAGTTTGCTATCTGCTTGCCCTCTAATCGAAAGCTTTTTAAATACTATTGACCAGCAAGATCTCATATGAAAATGACATTATTTTGATTCCTATCAAGGCTTTCCTGCAGCCTCTTACATTCCCTTCTTCACCATTTCACAATCAAGTTGTCTCTTACCTCTGATTCCTTATAATAGCGCTCAGGAAGTTCATCGCTGGCAATATCAATAAAGCAGACTTCTCGCTCCAGATCTTTAGCTTCTTTGTCAAAAATCTGCAAGAGTTAAAGAAATTCAACACTGTAACAGAACACCACCCTTACAAAATCCACCTGGAATAATAGTTACAAGCAATTTCAATGACTTGTGCAATGTAATGTATTTTAGGCTTCTGCCTGAACAGCTTCTGATGTAAGATACTGAAGTTTTTGCAGGGACACAGTCACATTCTCTAGCCTACTGCAGACATCAAAGGGAAGAAAATGGGTGTTCTCAAGATCATATATAAACAAGGTGTTCCTAAGCAAGATTAACAACAGTTTGAATGAATTATGCCACAGACTTTTTTTAGGAACAATCCACTATGTCAGATCAAGAGACAGCGGACTGTTCAGTATAACACATTGTGTTCAGCACTTACTGCTCACACTGCTGTTCTTCCTTGCACTTTTTGGAACGGAGACTTCCGTCAAAAATAGTAAAGTCAACAACTAGGATTGGTTTTACTGTGTTCTCTGATCTTTGAACTAGATTCCATCACTGTGTAAAAAAACGGACTTTCTGTACTCTGGGTGTTTCTAAACTTTTCACACTCTAGGGACAATGATGAAATGCAGGTGTTTTGTGTGACCTAGTCAGGCTAAGCTGCTGTTATACTGAGAATCAAAATTTTGGTTGAACTGCCCTCATTGGAAGCTGGAAACTTCCACTATCCATTTGTGCACACATACAGCTTATTTTCATTTTAATCCTTTAGGACCTGGTTTTGAACACCATGTCGCTTGTTCTATGCAAAGCAAATGATGGGTGTACTTTGAAAATGCAGGTCATTTGCATCTGCAGTGTAGTATACTTCTATGCCTGTGTCCATAATTTAATTATTTAGGCATCTTAGCGACCCATGTGACTTATGCTATGTCTGCAATACATTTCTACTCATGATTCTGGGACTTGGAAATAGTGACTAGTTAAAAGGCTATAATGAATTAGTGCCATAAAATTCAGGGAAGTTATGCATACACTGTCAAGATCAGTAACAAGCTAACAATGTGTTTTTTCCTTTAGGGCACAATGTTTTGTAGCTAACATTTCCAGGAAGCAAAAATTTTTTTTCCCCCTTTTCTTTTTTGTTAATAAATGTCTACTGCCCTCTGTTAATTTCATTTCATTTCATTTCATCCTAGAGGAACAGTTAAAAATACAGAATGCCAGCAACTATTCAGTAACAAGAATGCTACTTTATTATTTCTGAAAGAAATGCGACTGCCCATTTAAAGCATTCAAACCAAGCAATAGACTACAATGAACAAGTATACCAGCTGGTAAGAAGAACATTGCTCAGGATATTATAATTCAAATAAATTAAAAGCTGAAGTTTGACTCTACAATTTTAACTTGTCTTGGTAGTTAACAGTACTGGAATAAAATAGGCAACAATGAATGCTTACTGAACTGGATATAAAATGTTAACATGTCTGAAACTGCAGAAGAACAGAACAAAGGGAAACTCCAGTCTGTTTTTATTTGTGTACTTATTTTCCTTCTCCAATCCTTGTTTTGCAAAAAATTATGTTGGTTATTTGAACAAATTTGAGCTGAGACGTCCTTCCCCTGTAGTGCTCTTTCTTAGAATTGCTGTACATTTTTTAAGTAACTGTTATGTTTTATACATATAATGTAGGTTGCTTTTTATAAGCTGCTTTGCTTGCCTTTTCCCTAAACAAATTCAGATATACAGAGCAGTCCCTTGATGAAATCATTTGAACTATTTCTGGAACAAGATGTATTTCACCATAATCTCTGAGCTTTCAATAAAATAATGGCGATTTCTCTTAAATGGACATTACCAGGTGAGCTGAGGCTCTGAATCAGTATATGGTTTAAGTACAAGCCTAATAAATTTAGGCGCGTGCATCTCTCTGCACATTTGCAAGAACCTAAATTGAGATTCTTACCCAATATCTTATCTGAAGAAATATGCCCTGCTCTGTCACAGGCTTGATCCACATATCTTGCACCTCTAAGTAATATAGTTTTAAATTATTTTTCTCTCTTTAAAATGCTTTGATAGAAGTGGGGATGACAGATGCCTTTGCCAATCTGTCAAAAACAGGAGGAATTTTTCAACCATTTCAACTATGCCTTATTTGCTGCTTAGGCTATCTCTGACCATTTCCTCCATTCCAAAAGTTCATTGAATGACATTCTTGCTTCCCTTTGCTGGCAGAAGTTGTTGTCTAATCATTTATGCTTCTCCCCTTCTTAGATTGTTCTCTCTTCATTTGCAGATAGAGATTTAATCTTCTCATTCTATCAGCAGTAGAAAATAACAAGTCATTAGAGAACAAGACTGATTTCTTTCTTAGCTCTAATTCTTTTATTGTGTCTCCTAGCCACATAATCTGGGAATGTCTTAAAACCTGTAGGGAGGATGGGGTTATTGCACTTGTGATCAAAGAGACTAAAGAAATTTGAAAGTTTTAAAGGAAAAGATTAAAAGCCATGAAAAGAAGCATAAGGCTCCCAATCTGTGTAACTGTATTTGCAAATGTGCAGAAAATGAATGGTGAGAACAATCTGTATCCTTAAGAAGATGATGTAGAAAGGCAGAATATTAAATATTATATTGGAAAAGAACTGGACAGGCTTTACATTTGGAAGCCAAGTAATTAATTGAGACTGAAACACACAATCAAATGGAAAACAAAAAGTAACATTCAGGCTGAAGTGTCCTTTTTGCTGTGCGTTTTGTTTTTTTTTTTTTGGGGGGGGAGTGTATTGTGACAGCTTTTTTACAACAGACAAAGATTTATACACTACCACTTTCTAAGAAGAATGAAAACTCATCATGATTTAGACTAGTTCACCCACAGAATGACAAAAAGTGGAAGAAAGGTTTTAATTGGGTCATCTTTACAATTGTGAATAGTTTCTTTTGGGGAAAATTTCCAAAAAAAACCCTTGGCAGATGATTCTAGTACCTCAGGAAAGAAAGATCATACAGGATACTGCAGGAATGTAAGTGCTGGTATGTTTAAATTTCTTTCCTTCATTTTCCTCATGACCTACAATGACATGTCCTAGCACATACTTTGCTAGTGACTTCTCCTCTCCTTGTAGCCAAAGACAGAACAGAAAGTCAAGTTATGAGACGATGCTAAGTCAACAACAAATTTAATATCTTTTTTCTACAAGCTCCTTTCCCCTTTTTCTTCTATCTTCAGGCTAGGTTGCTGGCTTCAACCTCGTTCAGATGTAGCTAATCCAGACTTTAGCTTTTATGCCCAATCACCACCGCTAACCTGGTTTGGATGTAGATAGTATAAAGCCAGATAACCCACTGATTATATTCTCACTGGCAAACTCCTCACTACTGGGACTCCAAGGGTCAAATCTGTGCTTGTTTGGCTTACCTGTGTTTCATAATACATGATTCTATCTTGTGATGGTTTTTTTTCTATCATTGAGAGCAAAGAAGGTATTCAAGGGATTACCAGCTGGAAAGTTGTTTGTCTCTGTCCTTACTACAAAAGGTTTTTTTTACCAGCCTACATACAAGGAGTTTGTGGTCAGAAGGCTGTAATAAGGCAGCTACTTTGCATTTTAAACACTAACAAATACAGGACATAAAATTTCCTGTGGAAACAGTTAAATAAGAGGTCAACTTAGAAATAAAGGCAAGTTGTTAGAGATGAAAATGGTAAGGTAACCTATATAGAAAATTCAATACTACAAACAAACAAGTTTGAAAATGGGTGTGGTTTTTTCTGGATGCTATTTTTTCCATCCCTTGTGAGGCTTTGGGTGAGAAAAGATCTTTACATCTTCCTTACTTGTTATGTTAGATCCAGATCATCAGCCATTGCTGAGAAATGCAGCTAAGGCAGGGAAACAAAACAGGTAAGAGCTAAAAGATTTTTTTCCAAAAAAGCAGAGCACTCCTAAATTAATTACAGGCAGGTAATATGGCAGCAAACATGATTATTATCCCATGTGCTAAGTTAGCAGACACCTGTGCTTATCTACAAACTTAAGCCAAAATGACTACATTGTTCAATGTAGAACGTGGAAATGTAATTTATTGAGAGGAGAATTTCTACTATAAATCAAATTTCCTCTTCTCTTTGAGTTAATATCTATGCCTGAAAGCATTGTTCTTCCCTCTCTGCCTCCTCATTCTCCCTGCCCTGCCAACAAAGCCAAGAGACATCCCAACAAACTTAAATCTTGACTCTGCAGTAGCTGGACATCACAAGACGACATCTTAGTGGGATAGGCAGGCTATGACATGAGTGGCATGACAAAAAATATCTTTAAACATTAGAATTTGAAATTAAATTAGATTTATCTCTGCCTTTCTCACTATTGTATTGATTCATTCATTGTCACTAAGCTTCAGGAAAATGAAAAAAACATAGTATGCAGCTAGAAGAGCCCCCAAGCTTAAATGCATATATGCAACACATATGCTTCTTGTTTAATTCAAGTATTGATATTTCTGTGAAGCTTTGGGGTTTTCTCTGTGTTTTATCCCATCCCTGAAATGTAGTCAATTGCAGGTATTGAGCAATTTGTATGATGATGACCGCTTTCTGTCAGTAGAATACATATTTGTAGGATGGTTTAAATCTAGATTTCATGGTATGTGAAAGTTGGAAGTATAATTGCAGTAAGGACTGCAAAAATAATTTTTTTTTCCTATTAAAAAAAGTAAAATTTGGCACAAAACCTACTCTCCACCTTGAAATTCTCATCTCCTTAGATTGCCATCATCAGAACTACTGGCTAGTCTCCAATTTATTTTTACAGCATCCTTTAGCAGGTTGTGTCATCTGGTCCACTTTAGCTCTCATCTTTCTGAAGGAAAATTTGGTCTAAAATAAAAGAACACCTACTCAGAACTTGATCTATGGAATTTTATTCAGTAAATCATGTTCCAACCTCGGTTACCCCGAAGTCCGTTAGTTTGCTTTTGAGATCTACTTGGGCAAAGATTACAGGAATTGACCAATTTCAAACCTGTTCACTGGCTAAAACTATTTATGTGGACACACAT